ACACACACACACACACACTTTGTCATCTAAGTAATGAAAACCTAGATGTGGATAGAAATATAAAGGTGAAACAAGTTAAAGAATGAAACACTTGTAGGTTAAAGTGTGTAATTGTACCTCTGTGTTGCCTCCAGACCCTCATGGTAACAAGTACGACCTGAGTCACCTCATCCGGTACGCAGATGACAGCCCCTGGATCGCCATCGACACAGACTCGGTCAAATCACGCAGCTTTTACATCAACGTCTGCAAACCTCTCCCCCCCGTCAACAACTGTCCAAGTCAGTCTTTTTTTTTAACACTGTTCATATAATTATTTAATTTACATTTTCTAACTTTCAACCTACTTCAATAAAACGGCACACATCGTCTCGAATGTTCAAAACATCAAATTGTTCTCGTCTTGTGTCCAGTCGGCCCTCTGGGAGCTTGTGGTTTGATCGATGGCAGAAGTTACAACCTGGGATACGTCCTGTCGACGCCACAGCTGGCGGAGGACGGCTCCATCAGCATCATCTATCAGAACGGAGATCTGTGCGGTGCCACGTCCCGATACTCGACACGCATCATCCTGCAGTGTGACGACTACCCAGTGAGTGTCCGAGCTCCCACCGCGTCGAAGTCACTGATAATGTGACGGTTGAAGTAATATGTTTGTGTGTGTGTGTCTGAATTTCCAGGGCTCCCCCATGTTTGATCGTAAAGATGGTTGTGAATACGTCTTCATCTGGAGGACATCCGAGGCCTGCCCCATCACGAAGTCTCAAGGTATAATCACATGTTCACACGCCGATACATTAAAACGTCGGCTGTTGGATGATTCATGCAGATAAGTTCTGATAAACAACAAATCTGTCAGCGATAAAACTCCAGGATCGATTAATATTGATTAAAGAAAGACTGAAAGATTGAATAGAGATAATAGATCTGTGGTTAATGTCCGTCCAGGGGACGACTGCCGTGTCCGTGACCCAAAGAGCGGCTACGAGTTTGACCTGAGATCTCTGAAGGGACGAGATTACCCAGTCAGGAACGAAAAGTACATCTACCACCTGTCCGTCTGCGAGGGGCTCCAGAGAGGCGTCTGCACCCAGAAAGACAACGGCATCGAGACAGTGTCCTCCTGTCAGGCGGATGGAGAGAAACACAAGATTGCAGGTACGTGATTTTGTGCGATGTTCCGATCGCTCATCAAAAATGTTTGAGTCGTCGACCTCGTGTTTATCTCTTTTGTGTGTTTTCACACGTGCGATCGTGCAGGAACGGCAAACCAGATTCTGAGCTTCGTGGGAGACCAGCTCATCCTGAACTACACCAACGGAGAAACCTGTCATAAAATATACCAGAGGTCCACAGAGATCTACTTCTCCTGCCACCCCGACAGACACCCTGTGGGTTTACCACGCAGACAAAGACGCACTCAGAGAGTGCATACCGTAACAGAATGTCTCCCAGCTGGTTAATCACGTTGACTTATTGTGTGTGTGTGTGTGTGTTTCACTTGTCCAGGGAGTGCCACAGTTTATCAAGGAGACTCCAGACTGTACCTACCTGTTCAGCTGGCCCACCGCTCTGGCCTGCATCCCGTTCAGAACCACCAGCTGCTCCTACAAGTAACAATCCTCCACCACATCACAGTTTGTTTGAATATAAATGGAACAAAGTCGTCGTTATTATAATTATCGTGGCAATAATTCATATTAAATATGTGATTTGTGTAAACAGATTTTTCTGTTTGTCTGCTCAGTGACGGTCAGGGCCACTCGTACGACCTCTCCCCTCTGGCTTTGGACTCTGGGAACTGGGAGGTTGAGTCCTCGTCTGTGGACACGAGAAATCGATTCTACATCAACGTCTGCAGGACGCTGACGCAGCAGGGAGGTCTGTGTGTCCGCTCATTCACTCCTGTTCTTCATTTAGCACAACAGTCAACACTTCGAATGTACCTTTAGATGTCGTCTTTATTTTACCGTCCGATTTCTGTTAGCAACACACAATTCACATTGAAAGCTTCAGACTTAAACCTCCGCTCATCTCGCACCAGGTTCATGGAAGTGTCCCTCCAGTGCGGCGTCCTGCATGAAGACCGGAGATGATTACATGAGTCTGGGGCAGGTGGAGTCTGGTCCCACGTGGGACGGAAAAGTCCTGAAGCTGCAGTACAGCAGTGGCGAGGTCTGCCCTGACGGACAGCGCAACAGGACGAGCATCATCCGCTTCAAGTGTGACAAAGACAGAGTGGTGAGGGAAACACTGTGCATGTCTCCGATATCAATAATGATGGTTTATCCTGTTCTTATCGCCTCAAACAACCGAAAACACCAGAAAGCTCAGGTCTGTGTGCCGTCTGCTAACATGGAGGAGGTGGGGTGTATGACACCAGGGGGCATTCAGCGTAATTTGGTCTGATCTCTACTCGGCCTAATGTATTTTACATGTGTGTGCATGTAACACAAATGTAAACGTGTGTCTCTGTCCCCCAGGACTCCCGTCCCACTATGATCTCTGCCCTTGAGAACTGTGTTTACACCTTCCTGTGGTTGACAGCGGCCGCCTGCCCCCTAAACAGCAGCGAACATGACGACTGCAGGGTCACCAACCCGGCTACAGGTCGGTTTCTTTACACATGCTACACACATGTACCTTTTTAACAATATATTCTGATTTATTGACTCCGGTAGATGTCGAGCACCATGTGCAGGAATACGTTTGACCCTCAAACTTGTCTCACGTTGAACATCTCCTCTCCCCAAGGTCACATGTTTGACTTGAGCGCCCTGACGAAGGAAGGCGGTTACACTGTCTACGATCACAAGCAGCACAGAAAGATGTTCCGCATGAATATCTGTGGAAACGTGGCCAACGCTGGCTGCAGCCCTGAAACCGGTGTGTACATCCACCCGGAGGATCAGTAGCTTTTTGTTTACCCACTGACTTGAACGCCGCTTTATCACAGGCTTTACATTCAGTATGAAACAGGAGAGCAGGTGGATCTAGTGGTTTATAATTTTTAAGCCTTTATCAAACAACAACTCAACTTCTATGTCACAAGTGAAAATAGCTTCGTTTTAATCACCTCTGCCAAGAAAGTTATGTTTCCACCCCTGACATCAATCTTCACTTTAATATCTCGCAGGAGACAAAAACAAAAACCTGTGAAATATCTTGTTCTCTCCTGGTTACTGTTTGGTCTCGCTCACACACTTGGATGGGTTATGAAACCGACGATGTGCGTCACCTCTGTTTGTCAACTGCGTCCCACAGCACCGGCGTGCGAGTAATGAGAGACCTGAAGTCACCGCGCTCCTCGAATTATTGACTCCTCTTTTTTCCAGGGTGTCGTAGATGTTGCACAGTTTAACTGAACGGCTTCAGAAAAGCCACGGCTGCACAACAGGTCTGAATAATGAACAATGGGGATGTTTTTAAATTTTAATGAATGAATGCACAACTAGAAATATGATGGGATGGCACATTCCAGATGTTAATTAGTAGTTAATTGATATTTTTCATGGTTGAAAACTCATTAATCTTAAGTAAATCCTGAATTCTCAGCTGGATCTGAATCTAATCATTGGCTCAGGGTAGAACTTCCACCTCACATCACTACAATCACACTAACTTACTCGAAAAACCACTCAGCAGAACGCAAACCTCCTCCCTCTCCTTCAATTCAATCAAGCTGCACCGAATTACACACATTCATAGATATTAGTCGTCTAAATATCCATCAAACATCAAAATCCATGAATTATTTCATCTGCCCCCTGATTCCACACCAGATTTAAATGCCTTCTTCATCCTGCAACCAGGTTTCATTAGTTTCAGTAGTTTTTGCAAAATCCTGCAAACAAACAAATTGACAGGATGAAAATAAAAACACGAGCAGACTTGTCCCAGACAGAGTCAGGACCTCATTGTGTCGGCAGATCATCGATTCTCTGTGAACCTCGACATTCTCTTATTATCGACGTGTGCATTGTGTTTGTAGCTGTGTGCATTAAGGACACCAGCACAGCGGTGAGCGGCGGTCAGGTGAGCAGGAAGCTCTCGTACAAGGATCATGTCGTGGAGCTGACGTACGAGGGAGGGAGCCCCTGCCCAGCGAACCCCGAACTCAAACACAGCAGCATCATCCACTTCATCTGCAGGTCGGTCGCCCTCGTCCTCAGCTGTGCTTTCTCCTGTTGACGCTGAAATATTTTTCTGTGTGCATAATGAGTGTTGTGTTTCTGCAGACCCCCTCACATGGGCTCAGCCTCCGCAGAGCCGGTCCTCATCGACTCAGATGCTGAGACCTGCACACACTTCTTCTCGTTCCACACTCCGCTGATCTGTGAACAGCCTGTAAGTATATATATGTGTGTATATGTGAGAACAGTGACTCTTTGTATGACCCTGTTTCATAAATACATTTATCACCAAACTCTGTACCCATCCTGCACAGTTAGGAAATAGATCATCAGTCATTTAAATCAGATGTAAGATTTGTTGGGAATCAAACATCCCCCTCAGTCTGGTTCTCTTCTTCTCCACACCGGATCTTTCAGGTGACGTGTTCGGTCCAGAACGGCTCTGCTCTCATAGACCTGAGTCCTCTGATTCACGTCAACGGATACTACACAGCATCGGGTCAGTGAGCGGAGGTTCACACGGACGCTTTCGTTCAGATGAACTGATGATTCACTGAAGCTCTGTTTCTCCTCTCAGATGAGGCGGTGGATCCAAAGGACGGATCATCTGACTTTTACATCAATGTCTGCGTGCCTCTGAACCCAATCCCCGGCGTCACCTGTCCTCCTGGATCGGCCGTCTGCATGGATCCTGATAACGGACCGCCGATGGTGAGGCCCGCTGTCACATGTTGTCACAAAACAGAAAATGTTCGAAAATGTGTTTCGGTTTCCATCTCTTCTCTCTGCATCTTTATCTGTTTTTCATCTCTTTAAGGATATCGGCCGAACCACCAAAGGTCCGGAGATCGACAGTGCGACAGGGGAAGTGTCCATCACCTATAAAAGCTCCACAAAGTGCGCAGAGGACCCGGCGCAGAACTACTCTTCCACCATTATCTTCACCTGCCAGAGAGGCCTGGAGCTGGTCAGTCCGCACCTTTGAGAGAACAGCGTTTACATTCTTCCTGTTCCTGAGGAGGTCATTGACCTCTGTTTTGAATGCAGGGCTCTCCACGAATGCTGAAGCTGGAGTGCGTGTATTTGTTTGAGTGGGCGACGCCTGTGGTCTGTTCAGACGCCACCCACACCAGCGGCTGCAACCTCACCGACTCCCAGCTCGAGTTCACCTTTGACCTTTCAGCCCTTTCTGCTGAAGTCCAGGTGAGCTCCACTAAAATGACGCTCCGCTGACTTTGAGTACACGGAAGACTGTAAATCCAGTGTTTCCTCTCAGTGCTGAGGCCAAGTCTTTGTATTTTAGGTACCAGGACCCTCCAGCACCTACCACATCAGCGTCTGCGGCTCAGTGGCGGAGCCGGCCTGTAAGAAAAGTGCAGTTTGCCGCGTGTCTGGTTCGGACAAGATGGCTTCGTCGTTCGGCATCAGCAAGGCCATGACGATGGACTACAAACACGAAGAGCAGGCCGTGCTGATGCAGTACGGAGGGGGAGATCCCTGCCCGCCACGTGAGTCCCGTTACTTCAATCACCTCAAAGGGTTTCACCGTCTTCACGTGTTCTTCAGTCAGCATATTAAAAACAGCAGAGTTGAACCGAAGTGCTCAACAATCACAACAAAGACAGGAACCACAAGCATGGTTAAAAAAATCAGATGTACAATTAAAGAATATATTTTTTTAGAAAAGGAAACTTCAGTTGAAGCTAAATCAAGATTCGTTACAAACTAAAATTAAAACAACGAACCTGGATGAGGGACGCCACATGTGAAGAACGGAGGCCACTTCCTGTTTTAATACGGTGTCATGGCTGATATATTGATTCTTGATGAAAAGAAATAAAAGGATTTATGAATGTAAGAGAGCACTGAGATTTAAATATTAAAATAAATACGTCTAATAATTAAATGAGATCTGGAAAGCAACTGAACGTTCAAACGAGTGTCTGTGTGTTGCAGTGACCAATGAGGGTGAGGTGTGTGTGCTCCCCTTCATTCTCATGAAGAAGTCGTACACGGCGTGCACCAGCGACGCGAGGACCGACGGCAGGAAGTGGTGCGCCACCACCGCCAACTATGACACGGACCAGAAGTGGGGCTTCTGCAATGCAGGTGACAGAGAGGAGACAAAACCAGGCACTGAATCACATCATGCTTCAAAAAAAGTTTTTTTTAAGAAGTGTGGAGCGGGCAGGGAAAATGAAATCGACAATCAGCACCACTTTATAGTTTAAAATGTTTTCTTTTCTCTCTCTCTCTCTCTGTCTCTCTCTCTCTTTCTTCCAGCCTCTGGGCCACGTCGGTCGTCCATCTTGTTTACCTGTGACCAGTCTGCAGGCCACGGAACTCCGCAGCTGCTCTCGGAGACGGCAGGATGTTCCGCCACTTTCCAGTGGAAGACAAACGCGGTTTGTCCCCCGAGGAAGATGGAGTGCAAGCTGGTCAGCCAGCATCAGACCTTCGAGCTTCGAGCCCTGTCGTCCCTCACCGAGCCGTGGAAGTTCAGCCACAAGGGAGATTCGTGAGTCTGCGTTCATCTGCATATTAACTGTACGTGTTGAACTGTTTTGAATGTGACACCCGCTCCGGTTTTACCGTCCTCAGGTATTACATCAACCTGTGTCAGGGGATCCACGGTGGATTGCCAGCTTGTCCGGACGGAGCGTCCGTGTGTCGACACTCGGCAGCGGGACAGACTCACACCCTGGGCCGAGTTTACACCCAGAAGATGAGCTTCTCCGGTGGGTGGTCGAGTCAAATACGCTTCAGTGCACTTGTACGTGATGCTCAACGAGAGCCGGTCAAACGTCTGACACCTGGTTCCTCTCTCTGCAGATGGAAAGATCTCCGTCAGTTACTCAGCAGGAGACGAAGTCTGTGGTAAAGGCGTGCGGGCGAAGACTGTGATCCAGCTGAGCTGTGGCTCCACTGTCGGACACCCAGCGCTCATCAGGTAACACACACACACACACACACACACACACACACACACACACACACACACACCCAGTGAAGCCAGCCAGTTAAAGAATTACTTCTCCACCTTCATCTAAATGCTTTTCATTTACCTCCAGTATATGTTTTTCTTCGTTTCTTAACTTATACAGAATATGTGATGCTGCAATAAACCACATTCTGCATTCATTTACTCTTGGGTTCTGCATTTCTAACCGACCGTTAACGGTGTTTGGCTTTAAAGTTCAGGCTCTTTGGTTAAAGTTTAATTTGAGCAAAAACATTTCTCATTTCTCAGTCGATGTTAATCACAGACGTGAGTGATTCATATTATCTGGAGTCATTTCTATATTAAATAAATACAAACAAACGCTCAAAGAACGAATCACGCGTCATTTTATTCACTGCGGTTGTTCCATCATCTTCTTCGACTGTGATACAATAATATTTTGAGTTGTTACGAAACTCATTGTGTCATTTTAAATCTTGGTTTCTGGAATGTGCCGTCTCACCTCCTCCTGTATGTGCGTTTAGTGTCAACGAGACATCCTGCGAGTTTGTGATTGGCTGGGAGACTCGGTCGGCGTGTGCGGTGAAGCAGCGTGAGGTGGAGATGGTGAACGGAACGATACAGGTCCCTGACACCGGGGCCAATCTCAGCCTGGGGGCCCTCTACTTCAGGTACCAGCCCCCATTTGTAGTTTCGAGACAGGAGCAAACGTACGAACATGTAATTCTCATCGCCCTCATTTTCCTCTTAGCCAACATCAGGCGTCTGGAGACATCCGTTCCAACGGCGACCGATACATCTACCACATCCAGTTGTCCGGCATCACCAACAACTCACTGCCCAGCTGCCTCGGCGCCAACATCTGTCAGGTGAAGCTCAACACACCCTACAGACGCAGGATCGGCTCCTCCAGCAAAGCCAAGTACTACGTCAAAGGTAATTCGGTGCAACGTTTTTTCCCAATTTTCCGACAACCGTCCCGTGGGTCCGTTTCTCCACAGCCTACAACCGCTCTGCTTTTCCATCAGGGGGAAACCTGGACGTGATGGTGCCCTCGGAGTCAGAGTGCGGCCGCGCGAAAACCAAAATGGTGTCGTCCACCATCATGTTCCACTGTAACCCCTCGGCAGGCGTCGGCATCCCAGAGTTCATGCTGGAGACGGATGAATGCCAGTATCTGTTTGTGTGGCACACGGAGGCTGTGTGTGGTCTGACGTGAGTTAATCATTCCCACTGATCACGCTCCTTCCAGAGTTTAGTTTTTCCGCTCCAGACCTCGGTAACTAACTGAAACGTCCCGCAGAACTGTTGACGAGAAGTCGATCGACGAAGGCGACGGCAGCGCGGCTCCAGCTGTCTCTCGGCGGAGCCAGGCGCTGGGGGTGATGCTGTGCCTCCTGTTGGCGGGGATGTCGGTGTGTCTGCTCGGGCTCTTGCTCCACAAGAGAGAGAGAAGGTGAGGACACGAGCGTCCTGGGACTGAATGTTCTTCGTTCTTCTTACAGATGCCCCCCCGTCATTGTTTTCTTCTTCTTCTTCTTCTTCTTCTTCCAGGGAGCTGGTGATCCAGAAGGTTTCCGGCTGCTGCAGAAGAGGAAACCAAGTCTCGTATAAATATTCAAAGGTGGGTTTTAATCCAAGGCAAGTGAAATGGTGACGCCTCCTCGACAGCGGTGGGATTCAGTGTTTGGACTCAATCCCCTTTGCATCCTCAGGTCAACATGGATGAAGAAGGGGGCGAGGAGGAGATGGAGTGGCTGATGGAGGAGCTCGAAGCCCCTCCCACGTCCTCCTCGTCCCACAGGGGCAAGAGTCACCACGGCAACGGTCACATCACGACCAAGCCGGTGAACACAGACGCCCTCCGCTCGTTCACGCTGGACGAGCAGGAGGACGACAGCGAGGACGAGGTGCTCAGCGTCCCGGGGGTCCAGGTGTTTAAGTCGAAAAACTCGGCGGCTCATCGCAGCGCCTTCCTACAGGTGAGTTGATGCTCTTCTTCCTCCTCTTCCTCAAACTTGTCTCCTGTCCAGCTGGTCGGCAGGAACGTAGTGAGGGGCTTATTATCATTTCCCACAATGCCTTTTGCCTTTATTATCATCATCATCATCATCTCATCAGTCTTGACACGACTTTTATCGTTTCAGGAGGAGAGTGACGAGGACCTGGTCGGCCTCCTGGACGACTCGGAGCGGAAGAGGAAGAGCGGCAAACCCCGCTCTTCGGGCCGTAACCACGGTAACAACACGGCAGCCAACGTGAAACGGGACGAGGACGACAGTGACGAGGACCTCCTCAGGGTGTGATGTCACTTCCTCACTGCCCCCCGCCCCCCCCCCCGGCTCTCTCTCCCTCCTCCATCCTGTCTGAACTCTGCTCTCTCAGTGAATGTCTCCGTCATAGCAACAGTGAAACACCGACCACGTCTTGAAATCAGAAAACTTTCCTCTTCCTTTTTATTTTGGGGGGCGGGGGGGTTTGTTTATTTTTTGGGACTGCACCTTTACTCTCCTCCTGAGTCCAGTCCTCTGTCTACAGATCGTGGATCGATCAGCACACGGTATCTTATTTATTGATAGCTGATTATTTAAAGTGTTCTTCAGGCCTTGTTGACCTGCACCCTGTCTTTTCACTTTTTCTTTTTTTTGTGTTTTCTTTTTTTTTCAAACGATGAATTGAAATCACTTCCTTCAGTCTCACCACATTTATCTGACAGTTCCGACTTATCGAATGAACCCAGGGCTCAAAAAAACAAGACGACCCCATCTTTTAAAATGTGTTGCCTCTGCAGAGAGACGTGTCAGGGAAAAGATTCAGAGGAAATTGAATTATATCAAATACTTAAAGCTGTGCCATTGCTTTTGCACTTTATTGTAGCACTGATTTCCTGGAAATTATCATTTTCTTTTGCAGAGCGGGCAACAATACATTTACTGCTTTGAGGGTTGAGTCATAGTTCTGGTTTTTAATGATCTTTAGGAACGAATTAGAAAACTAAGCTGGAGTTTTGGGGCCAGATGAAGATGAGAATAACGTTGTAGTTGAGAAGAACAGAGAACACGTGCTCGCTCTGAGTTTATAATCTCCAAGATTCTCTCTCCAGAAAATACTCAGTGACAAAAGATCAAGTATTTTGTGAAACTAAAGTAAAACTTTGTAAAAGTTTATTACAACTTTATTCTCTGAAGCTCAGATGTTTCTTTTCAGTGGCCCTAACAACCTGTCGTAGAAATCTGTGGTGAAATAGTGAAACGAAATAAAACGGCTATCAAAGAAAGTAGCAGGACGCTGGTTCAGTTTTCAGGACGTAGGCAGTGGAGCTGTCGGCTCGTGTCGTCTCTAAAGGGAATGAAGACGCCCGTTTGTCTTTTCTCGCTGTTTACAGTTGCTATAATAGCAGATCTTTTCTCTTTCTTTCCCCGTGAAAAGAAAGCGTGATGCCTTCCTAACGATGAATTTACTTTTGCATTTTCATCAACGAATCGTGTCCAGCGACAGATTGATTTGTGAGACGTTGTACATAGACGATAATGTTCTGTAATGTGGACTTGTTCTGTTTCGTTCGTCTTCACCGGTGAAAACGCTCGCTCGTGTGTTTTTATGATTATTTAAATGTCGGAGCTGATTTTCTGTTGGTGTCTCTGTTCTGTGTGGAAATAGCGACGGCCTTAAGTGTGAATGGAACGGTCGATGGACGTTTGAAAGTGAAACGTGACGTGTTGGATTAGCTTGCGTTGGTTTTGAACTCCTGCTAAAGCCATATATTTCTTCAGCCACCAATGTACGGAAGTTGTTTTTCTTTAGTTTTGTCCGCTTGCACGCTGTCGTACACGAGAGGCTCGGTTTTGATTTATCAGGTCTGTGATGGTGGACGTGTTGAATGTGAGGTTTTCACTCAGTAAAGCCAAGTTTTGTGCCGAAATCCGCTCTTTTTTTAGCCAAATGCATGAAGTGATTGGACTAAATGAAGAAATTAAACATAATTATATCCCGACGTAAACATTAAACACCTTTTCTGCTTGATTATATCAAAACTCGTGTTGCCACAACGGATCCAGGGCTCAGCTGTTCAGGTTCATTTTGTTATTTCATCGATTAACTAAAATTAAATCGCACACTTCCTTATAGTGAGTTAACCTACACAGCATAAACCATTGACTGAAAATAAAGATGGACGACGTGTTCCTCCCACCATCCAGAAATGAAGCCAAGATATTACGGATACAATCGCTGCCATCTTGTGGTGTATCATCGAATAACAAATTAAAACCGAAGCCAGCCACCAGGGGGACATCAAGGTGCTGTGGCTTCACTTTTGTGGAGGCGTCATATCGTCCATCTTTCTTTTTTTTTTTTTTTTACAGTCTTTGGTAGAAGCACAGTAGTTTCGGTTCCGTCCCACTTGCTTGTTTTTTTTTTCATTTGTCGTTCTGAAACATTCACCGTGTTAATATTTGTGCACTTACACCGATGTTTAGTTCATGATGATGAAATGTCCACTGGTACGAAGATTAAATCCACTTTTGGGGGTTTTCAGTGTTCACTCCACACAAACTCAAGTTATTAACGGACATGTGACGTCATCGCTAAAATCAGTCACCATTCAGGGTATTTCTAAAGCTTTATACGCAAATTTGCTAAACACATTTTTGTAAAATGTCCAAAAACTCTGACAAAATAACACAAAAAAAAAAAAAAAGGCTTTACTCGGTGAACATGAGTGTTTTATATGGAGGACTTTGAGTTGGTCCATAAAAGTGAAAGTTAAAAACACAAACATCGTGTTTCAGTCCCTCTGCTGCAGGTTTTCACCGATGAGTCAGGATCACGTCACTCAGTTCATTTATCTTTGACTCTGTAAAGGTCGAGATGAACTGTTATTACAGCTTGGGTCTGAATTCTCCCTCGTCGTGTTTTCTGTTAATAACCGACAGGATCAGTAGAATGATTCAGCTGCTGATCTGAAGTTATGAAGTATTTTGTCCACGGTACATCGGGTAAAGTTTCCAAAGCCAAAAACTCAAAACCTAAATATGATTGTCCAGCGGAGGTCGAAATGAAATCGAGCCTGTCGCTCGCGGACGTTATTGTTTTAAACATTTTTTATTTATTCAGCAAGTGAACTTCTGGATCAGAACGAGGTTCGATCCTCATCATCACAGAGAAGCTGCAGTTGAATGTGTGAAGTCCGTCTCCATGGTACTGACCCGTCTTCTCTCATGAAGGTTCGATTCTTGTGCTTTTTCTTCAATCGGTTTTTTTTGGTTTTGTAAAACGAACTCGTGAGAGTTGAATCCCGACAAACAAACGAACACGGTGACTTAAAAAAAAAACCCCACAAGATGTTTTCTGTGATGATTCTGGACGATGTGAGGTCATCATCATGTTTTGTTTGGTGTAAGTTCTGTTGTCTCTTATGTTTTTTTTTGTTTTTTCAGCTCCTCGCCCGTTTTCCTATTTAAAAAGTATTGATGTAAAAATATTGCATTATTTGAATAAATAAGAGATCTGCTGTTTATGACTGTCGTGGTTAATTCACAGTCGGTTATAAAGTATGAGAGAATTAAGTGACTGGTCTTAAATCAGTTGAGAATCTAAACGCTCCAGAATTTTATTTAAATAGATTTGACTTGGACGAGACTCTGAGGACTTCAGACTTGTCTTCAATAACTTGAGACCTCGCCTTGAAATAAAATAATCGGGATTGCACTTGTCTCTAAGGACGACAAACATCCAGACTTGACTCGGACTCCTCTAGAAGAATGTCAATAACAGAAGACTTAATGTGTCTCGTCTTGAAGGACCTCAGACCTCGAGTTGTCTTATACTAATGACTCATTTACCAACGTCCCCTCCAACTTTCCTCAGCGTCAGATGTAGCAGCCAATTAAAAAAGAAAATGGATCTGGATTTTCATGTCTCACTGATTCACAGAAGCTACATTTCTAAGTTAACTGACTGTTAGTGACGGGCAGCTCCGTGTGTTTATGTTAATAAACTCCTCGCTGGTCAATGGTTCAGATGTCAGACGCAGTCCAGTGACGAGCAACATGTTTTAATGCTCAACTGGAACTGCGTCTGTCCGGGGACCTTTGCTCCCGCTTGTCCTGTTTAAAACCCACAGAACAGCGAGGAGGCTCAACTTCCTGTGCACACTCAGGTAAGGCCGCAGACGCCTGGCAGAAGAAGGTCAGATTTTTTTTTTTTTTAGGGAAAAGAACGAAACATCTGCAACCATGACCACTTTTGACGACATCCTGGAAGAAGTTGGCAATTTCGGCCGCTGTCAGAAGCGCATCTTCGCCCTGATGTGCATGGTGTCCATGCCCTGGGCCGGCGTGTACGTGGGCATCGTGTTCCAGGGCTTCACGCCGGACCACTGGTGTCGGGACGCTGCGGTGGTGGAGAGGAGGCAGGCGTGCGGCTGGAGCCTGGCGGACAGTCGCAGGCTGACGCTGCCGCAGGTCAACAGCTCTGGAGCCGTGCAGCACAGCAGCTGCGAGCAGTACGAGCTGGACTGGAACAGAACCTCACTCACCTGCGACTCTCAGGAGCTGGACCTCAGCAAGACTCCCACAGCTGCCTGCAAAGACGGCTGGGAGTACGACTACGAGGGGAGACAGTCCTTCGTCACTGAGGTGTGTTTCCTGACATGTTGAGAGCTCATTCATCTTGTGTCTCCTGGGTTTCCATGGTTACAGGTCAGAGCAGTGCGGCCTGGTTGAGATATCGTTGAACTTTTAAAACGTTGAGATGAAGAAAGAGAAACCAGGGTTCAAACCCAACTAACCCCGTGTGTCTGTGTGTCCTCCCAGTTCGACCTGGTGTGTTCAGACAGCTGGCTGGTGGACATGTACCAGGCCACGCTCAACATCGGCTTCCTGATCGGAAGCATTGCCATTGGTTACCTGGCTGACAGGTACGTCTGCGATCGGCCGGGTCGTCGGTCGGTTCCACCTAAATAATGTCCTGTGTCTGAAATGTTGCTGCGACAAGTTAAACTCACTCATATCTGCTGTGTTTGTGTCTCCGCCTCCAGGTTTGGCAGGAAGATGAGCTTCCTGATGTCCAACCTGTTTAACGGGATCACAGGGATCCTGGTGGCCGTGGCTCCGAACTACGTGTCTCTGCTGGTTTTCAGAACGTTGTACGGGTTTGGAGTGAAAGGAGGCTGGGTGGTCGGATACGTGCTGAGTAAGACACAACAACAAAACCTGCACTTCTTTGTTTCCTTTCTGCTCCTGACACGTGATTTAACATGTGAGACATGTCCTCGTCTTCTTCCTCAGTCACAGAGATCGTGGGAGTGGAGCACCGGCGGACGGTGGGAGTCCTTTACCAGATGTTCTTCAGCGTTGGCATCCTCCTCCTCCCGCTGCTCGCCTACTTCATCACCGACTGGCGCTGGCTGCAGGTCGTCATCACCGTCCCCTACATCCTCTTCCTGTCCTACTACTGGTGAGATTCTTTCTCTCTTCACAAGAACCACACGTATTATATAATAACTGTTTTTTAAGTGAATCAATAAACACGTCTGTCATTTCTTCATGCACCTTCTTGTCTTTGCGTTCAGGTTCCTCCCTGAGTCTCCACGATGGCTTCTGTCTCAGAACCAAAAGTCCAAAGCCGTGAAGATCACCGAGGACATGGCCAAAGAAAACAAGAGGACTCTGTCGAAGAACATCGAGGTAACTGCTGGTTCGGTTAGAAACACTGAGACACCAGATCAGACTGTGTCCGCCTCGTCACGTCAGACAGAATCTGTGCATTTTGAAATACATTCAAGTGAATAAAGGAAACAGGAGCAATAAGTAATAAAGAAATATGAAGATGTATATTTGTTTCTTCAGAATCTGGCAGACGACAACGCCGACTCCTCCACCGCCTCCTTCATGGACCTGATCAGAACTCCCAAAATGAGAAAACACACTTTCATCCTCAGCTTCAACTGGTCAGTTAATATCCAGTCAAATGATTCATCGTGTCTTTCCGAGCTCGATCACGGGACATAAATCCACCGGCTCCTCCTCCAGGTTCACCAGTGCTGTGGTCTACCAGGGTCTGATCATGAGGCTGGGGATTCTGGGAGGAAACGTCTACATCGACTTCCTCATCTCTGGCCTGTTGGAGTTTCCCGCCGCCTTCCTCATCCTCTTCACCATCGAGCGCATCGGCCGACGTCTTCCCTTCGCCACCGCCAACATCGTCGCCGGAGCCTCCTGCTTCATCACGGCCTTGATCCCTGACAGTGAGTACGAGGAGGAACTCAACGGACAGGAAGTGATGAGAGGAATTCTTTTAAAACGTCTTTCTCTTGCAGGTATGTTCTGGGTGAAGACGGCGGTCGCCTGCATCGGTCGGCTCGGTATCACCATGGCCTTTGAGATGGTCGTGTTCGTGAACACCGAGCTCTACCCGACGTTCGTCAGGTGAGGTCCGATCCATCGCCTCGGCTTCTGGCGCTGATGGTGAAGCTGAAGTGTCTTCATGTGTGTGTGCAGGAACCTGGGAGTGTCGGTTTGTTCCACCCTGTGTGACGTCGGCGGCATCGTGGCTCCGTTCCTGCTCTACAGGCTGGCTGTCATCTGGCTGGAGCTGCCACTCATCATCTTCGGTGGGTGCTGACGTTATTATGAAGATTTCCTCTCAAACTGTGAATTCAAAAGTAAAGACAGGTGTAATAACGATAGATCTGAGATGAACGGTCGTTTATTAAAGTGAAATAAAGAATATTCCTTGTACTGTGTTGTTCAGGGTCTCTGGCGTTCGTGGCCGGAGGTTTGGTTCTGCTGCTCCCTGAGACCAGAGGCGTCCCGCTGCCCGACACCATCGACGACATCGAGTTCCCCGACAAGTGAGAATCCACGTCTGAACCCACAGTTTAAAAAATGACTTAAAAACAAACTCTTACACATTAAAGGTGTTTGCACGTATGAATATGAAGTTTATTAGTTGCACACGTTATTTAGAATTTCTGAAAATTAAAAGAAAACATCAACAGGTTTTCTTCTATTCATAATTTCCAGTTTCAGTACAACACACCCACAACTAATAATCAATAATAACATGAAAGAGTAGAGTCATTATTTCATTGTCTCTCCGTCTCCAACATGATGTTGACGTTGTTGTTTTGTTGTGTTTAGAATGAAGGAGAAAGTTTCGCTGAAGAAACAACAGTTGGACAACTTGTTGCCCAAAGACGACGTGTCGACCAACAAAGAGCCAGCGACGGTCTGAGCTCTGCCTGAGGCCGGAGTATTTATTTTATCATCTGTGACTGTGCCAGTGATATCTGATGTCTGAATATTAAAACGTGACTTTTTATTTAAACGGTCAGTGGACGTGTGTCTGTTTTCATAAAGAAAAGGGTTTCTGTCCTGTTACCGTGGTAACGAGCTCCGCTAACAAAGCAACCAAACAGACTGTTCAGGGTAAATCTGATAAATGGCTATTGAATAATAATTATATGAATAATATCTTTTCTTTTATAGCTTCACAATTAAAAACAAGTAGAACTCATCATAAAACAAACACAGACACTCAACCTGGTGCGGAACTTTAGGCAGAGCTACTCGTTACAGTAAATGAAAGCAGAATGAGGTAAAACTGGTGAATACGTCTGAAGCTTTGACTCAAAGAAGCTGCGGACTCGTTCTGCTGTGTTTCCTCTGGCAGAGCCTCTGGCCTTTAACTTCTTTTGTCTTTAGTTTGAAAAGCTCTGCCACAGGACGTCAGGGTACGAACAGGGTCGTGTGAGGACAGAGGTCCAGTAACAGCATCACAAACGTGAAGATCTGAACTTTAACCAGAACATTTAAGAATCAAGATGGTTTCCATCCACTAACATTCCCCTCAGGCTCCTTTATTTCAGGTCTCCAAACTTTTTTTTATCTGGTTTTATTTTGAAAATGTCTTCACCTTCAGTTCAGTTTTACGTCAGACGAAGGAACAATAACTAAACTCATATTGTTCCTCTCAGAGAATCTCTGTTGTATATGTGTTTATCCTTTGTTTCATGTCGTACTG